ATGTATTTAATTAAAGGGGTACTTGAAATCACCACTAAGCTTTTGCTTGTGCATCTTTACAATAAAATTATGCCTTGTAAAGTTCACCTCAGATCTATCATGTTCCGTTTGAAGGGTGAAGAATACAAGTTGTTCTGGCCAGACCAACCAGAATTTGTGAGAATGGCTGCACGGTTTGGCGCCACAATAGTACCATTTGGAACTGTGGGAGAGGATGACATCACAGAAGTAAGCTCTCTCTAGTGTCTATGTCTGGATTAAAATTTGGTATTTAGCTCTCCACTCTCTGCAAAGGTTGGGAATTTAAAACTTAAAGAGCATTTTTTTCTACTTCTGGGGGTTTGTCACTATTTTACATACCTGTCAACCCTTCTGTTCCTTCTGCTTTACACCTTCTTCGGAGTTCAAGTTTAATCTTGCAACTATTTTCGGCTAATTTAGTTAATTACGTGCATGCTTGTATAAATTTGGCTGAATCATATACAGTTTTGATGCATCTTTCTTGCAAACTTTTGGATTTACTATTGCTGTCATTATTTTAAATTAAATGAGTCCTACAGCAAGTCTAAAAATGAAAATGAGCCTCCCCATTTATATGACGTGCTTCAGCATTGTATTCTGATGATGATGTGATTGTTACTTTGAACGGGCAGTTGGTACTTGATAACAATGATCTGATGAAGATTCCATTGGTCAATGACTACATCAGAGAATCTAGTCGCAACGCTATACGAGTGAGGTAGCTCTCTACCCATGACCTTCAAAAGATGATGTGTATAGATTTTGTATGGATGGCCTTTGAAATTATAAAATCGCTTACCACATTGAAATTCTTTTTACATTGACATGAATTATGTACTGTTTTTTAGGGAGGATGAAGCACTAAGTATTCCAGTGATTTTGCCAAGGATACCTGGCCGCTTTTACTATCTGTTTGGGAAGCCCATAGAGACAAGGGGGAGATATGAATCACTGAAGGACAGAGAAAACGCAAATGAGTTGTACTCACAGGTAAAATCCGGAGTGGAAAGCTGCATCGCGTATTTGCTCAAGAAGCGAGAGGAGGACCCTTATCGAAATATATTTGATAGAACCGTACATAGAGCATTACATTCTCCTTTACACGAAATTCCTGCATTTGATCCCTGATAATGGGTGGTGGTTGTCCAAATAGTTTTGGTCTTTTGTTTTTCATTTAGAGTGACATAAACATTTGTAAACATTCGTGTATATCTAATTTCCAGTTCTGTTCTTATTTGAGAGTAACGCCTGGGCCAAGTTGCAGACTATGATCTACTGATCTTATTAAATTCCACCAAAGAAATTTAAGTTCATTGGGCAGAAATTTAATTGCTCCTAACCTGTGGACCTTAGTTCCAAGCTTGAGAGATACATACGAATCTATGATAGATTTAGAGTAATCCACTCTTAGAGGCACAAGCATTAAAGCTCAGTTTCCAACTGCTGTCACATCTCTTCTTCCATTCTTTCTGATTTGATAAATATCAGCATTCAGGTGAAAGTAGCATTAGGATTAATAAGAAGTCTTCTGTCTCTCCTTGTCGAAAGTTCGGACTGCTTAATTGTTCAAAGGGGAGTTATCTTACCTTATTAGATATTCTTCATTAGTGGATTAGGCACGACTATCCTGTCAAGGACTCCTGTTTTCGTTAACAGGAAGTGCTTGGGGACCGTAATAAGCTGATGGACTTCTCCGTTTATCGAGTGCTAAAACAAGATTCCTCAATCTTATCGTTCGGTTAAAAAAATTCCAAGAATGGAAGAAAGATTCCAAAAATTAGCATATGATACGAAACTATTTTAATCAACATACTTGAATCTTATTGCATCTGCTCAATACTAGAAGAACTTCTAGAAGAGGAGAGGATAACATTCCTTCAAGGGAGAGAGTTCTAGTGGTTTTAGCTCAGGTAGGAAGCCTTCTGAGGCTCTAGTCTAACTTATGGCGGGTTATGATTGCTACTATAGAATTTATAACCCCTATGATGGATTCAATCCACCGAAAACTGATAGGAGCCACAACTCCGAGCAGCTGTGCTGTCCAGCCTTCAATGATGCTGAGGAAGGAAGATTTATTGCTGGTGACCCTTGTCAAAACCTAGGGACCTATGTCATGAAAATAGAAACAACCGTTGAATGCTTCCATCCATCAACATTCTCTGAATATCACAAGCAATGCTCGCTGCCGAGGTATGAGCACCCAAGTTATGGAGGAGTCAAGGACAAGCTGCATGGGCCTTTTATCAAGAGCAATGACCAGGTGCCTGTGGTCGGGGCTTCTTCAACAAGATCCAAAATGAAGCGAGCCAACCTTATGGGTTCGGTGCTCCACAGACCCCATACCAGCTCAGGATACCTATCTCCACAAGTTATTATGGCATTACCGGCAACCACGGCGATAGTGATCATGAGAAGGAAAGGCACGAGCCTATGACCAATACCATTAAGGGGACGAAGAACCTGCTCGTGGTGACCTTACAGCAATAAAATTCTGAAACCACCGGCAACAACAGAAGCTGGTAATGGTGCTAGGCCTGTTCATCCAACAGGGTTGGTGCTACCAAGTCACCATACCTGATCTAAGAGAGGGCGAACCATCCAACCGCCATCGGTGATCATGACTAGATGTTGGGAGAGGTATGGTCCTAATATGGGGCTCAGCCCACCGATGAACGACATAGGCACAGCCATGGGGTATTTGAAGAAAGCTGTCGATCCATCCTCTATCAATACCATTAAGGACGAACTTCCCGATCGTGGTTACCTTAAAGGTGATAAAATCTTTGAAACCACCCGTGGCCACAGCAGGTGGTCTGTAGCTGGGCCTGGCCATTTAACGGGGTCTATGCTGCCGAATTATTATCTCATTCGAGAGAGAAGAGAGGACCATTCAACGGCCATCTATGACCATGACAGGAGGTTGGGAGAGGCGTGGTCATGATATGGGGCTCGAATCAATGAATGAAACAGGCAAGACAAGGGAGTGCTCAAAGGAAGCCGTGAAGCCTACCTCAGTCAGTACAGTTCCCTAAAGAGACTCGATTCCCGAAACAATCAACAGCGAGGAAGCCAGAAGGCAATATGAGGATGGCAACCCCTCACCAGAGCTGTATGCGACTGGTTTCACCACCACTATCGACAGTCGGGACGCTGCGAGGAGGTACTAGGGAAAGTTTGTTTGAAAGCGTGATTTGGATTGATCAGCTATCACCTTTGGCAAGTAAAGTAGCATATGCGTGCACTTGATAGTGTGCTTGCTCTATATAATTTGTGTTGCGATAAGCATTGTGGGAAGCAAAGCTCAGACAAGTGGTTTGCATAACTCTAGCTTGTTAGCAGAATATGTCGAAACGTGATAACCGAGGCTGTTTTAGTGTTGCCTCCTTGCCATTTCGTTGTGTTACAAGGAACCTCTAGTTTACTTGCGCAACAATTAACTTCTAACTAATAATACAACTGACCAGATGAATTTTGAACTGTTTATCAATCTTCGAGAAAGTATGCAATAGCGTTCTCAATATTATGAAAGAAGTGATCAACATTATGATAGATTGGTTCTATTAGGGATCAAACTGTTGCAAGTTTGGAGACGTTAAACGGCGAGTCTCATCTTCGAATTCATGCCACTGTAGAAGAGAGAGAGAACAAACCTGAGCATTGTTGAAACCGACTCCTTTGAGGAAATTGTAAAATCACCGAGATATTTCCGGCTCATGTCTGAGCTTGTTCTCTTCACACAAGGAATGACTATGCTTAAACAAGTCCAAGGTCCGTTACTCATCGTAAATGCCTTCCATTTCCACCAGCAAAGTGACAAACTTATAGCAGTAATGCACCAGAAATATAATAGCAGAAATCCCAATTCAAAACTAATAATTTTCCTTCACAAAATGTAATGTCACTGATACTCGCCATTCGTTTGAGAAATTCTTTTTGGCTCCTATCTTTGTGCCGTAAATGCTATTCGTAATATGAAATCTTCGGGTTAGAAGTATATTTTTCGTATTAGGGGTACAGCGAACGTGAACATGGCTGAATAGTGCCACTGGAATCTTTTGGTTGGAACTTCTTTTCATTATCGAATTCTATTTTCGTTCTCTTATCATTATCTCTTGATATTTTGAATTATATCTTTAGGAAAATAACACCTGAAAATGGCATCACGTGAATAAAATCAGAAAAAAAATCTCTCCAGAAAAGCGACCCTTGTACTTCACGTAAAGTAAGGGGTTAATATCACGAAAAACTTCAAACCGGTACAACTCTAACAATTTTACCTCAAACTAATTTTTTTACTAAAAAAATCCCAAACTGGTATACATGTGACAATTTTATCCCAAAATAATATTTTGATCACTAAAAATCTTAAACTGATACATTTGTGATAAATTTATACTCCGTTAGTTTCTGTTAAATTGGATTTATACAACAAAAAATCACAAATTGGACAAATGAAGGGTAAATCATAAAACAAGCACATCAAACAATTACCGTATGTCATTTAACAAAGCAATTTGACGGTAGAATTTAACAAAAATAAATTTATGATAAATTTGTTACAAGTATATTAATTTAGGATTTTTTTATTAAAAAATTAATTTTAAATAAAATTATCACCGGAGTTTTTCGTCACATTAATCTAAGGAAAAGTGGATCAGTTTTGAACTTTTATAGTGTACAACCGTGGAGGACCAGGCAGACCCTTGTCTGTCGGCACCCCGGACTGTGTGTGGCCAGAGCTTTATCGGCAAAAATGAGAAACGGTCGCCCCTCTCGTTTTTGCCTCTCCTCCACGACCACACATTTTACTTGCAAGTGCCAGCAAAGAAACAGGCCCTGCCGACTTCCAAACAGCGGGCTCCCTCTGAAAGTACTTTTCTCTGTCTGTCTTTTTTCAGTAGTAATTCGGTGACGCATTCTATTCCACGTTAATTTCCACTCGCTATTTATTTGCTCCATCTCTTATCTACCGTATAACCACAAGATTTACAGAATTGCATCCTCTAGATAGTATTAAGATGCCATTTTGCTTCGAGGGTGCACCTCAAGTGTCAGTTTTCTTTTTCCCTTTCGGATGCTTTCTCAGTTTCTCTTTTGTGTCTATTTTGAGCCAAGAACGGAATGTGTTCTTTGGTTTAGAGTGTTCCGAGGAACCTTCTGACTGAACTCCCCAAGGCCCTTCAGTGACTTAGTTGGAGCTCTTTTATAAGTGGAGTTCTTGGTGGAGTTCAAAATTTTCTAAGTTGCTGAGTTTGGAAAAGGGAAAAAAAGGGTGCAATCTTTGTATGACTGCTATGACATCATCGGTTACTTTCCGGGTGTCGCCTTATTTGGTGTTGAATTCGCAATTTAGGCCTCGGTGTAGAATGCGAGCGAGGAGTTCAGGTGGTGGTGACTCAACATTGTCATCATCTCCTGAATTGGTTGTGTCGAATGGAGCTTCTTCTGTGGAGGAGAGAGAGAAAATTGGTCCTTTGACTGGAGGAAATGGATATGCAGTTTCGAAGATTGAGGTAGTGGAGGAGAAGAAAATGGTGGAGAAAGAAGCAAAATGTTCCGCTGCTTTGGAAGGCTTGGAGGTGTTGTGGGATGATGCGTATGGATCAAAGAGTGTGAAGGATTATCTTGACTGCTCGAGGGATATGATTAGGCCTGACGGAGGTCCGCCCCGTTGGTTTTGCCCTGTTGACTGTGGACAGCCTTTGAATAATTCTCCAGTTCTTTTGTTTTTGCCTGGTAATGCCTAGCTTCTCGCTTGAATTGGTGCAAAACTAGAAATGACTGGAATTCTGGTTTCAATGATATTCTTGTAGCTTTTAAGAAGTTATTATACATTACTCGTGCATCAACTTATACCCATGTGCTATATTATATAGGAGCCTAAATTTGTGATTCTTAAGAAAAATAATACTTGTATTGCCGAAGTTTAATACATAAGTGCTGTTTCCTGCAGGACTTGATGGCACTGGATTGGGCCTCATCTTGCACCATAGAGCACTGGGGAGGTGAGTTTGTATGTCCCATCATTTTGGGGTTGTAAATTTCATTACAAGGGAAAGTAATGATGCACGAGAAGCCATGTTTTTGTTTCTGTGATTCTATCATGACCAAGCATTTTAATGCTGAAACCATAAAACTGCAGGGCTTTTGAAGTTCGATGCTTGCATATCCCTGTTTATGATCGGACTCCATTTGAAGGTATCTCCCTTTCAAATCCTTTTAATTGCTGTGCATGATGACAACAACTTATGGTGGAGTGGAATGCTTTTGAGCTGTGTCGTAAAAATGCAAAAGGCAGTGGTGCATTCACATCATTCTTCAGTTCTTCACATATTTTCCTTATCTGTGGCTTCAAGCTGTATTCAATACTCGATCCATGCCGTTCCTTGTCAAACTTGTTATGTTATTGATGATCCACAGTTCTCAAAGTGGGTTTACAAGCCCTTTAAATGGTGAAAACTTTCTTCTAAATACTCAACAAATGTTACAAGAAACAAAATAGCGCACGATACTGAGTACTTGACAAAAGCCTTCGCATAAGATAAAACTTAGAGGACCAAATTGCACAAATCAAAAAAATTAGAGACTCAAAATAAAAATAGAGGACCAATTGAACAAATGATGAAACTTAGAGGACTAAAGCCGTACTTAACCTACATCAATTGGAGGAATAATTTGGAAAGATGCCACAAAATGATTATTTCTCGCAAGAACCAAGCATGCTAGAAAGAACATGAATAAGTTATTTCTCATTACATTTAGCGAACCAAGTTACGTCAAGATTCATAAAGGCGTCTTCGGTTATTTGAACCTCTCTTCTCTCATGACTCAACCCAATCATCTTTTGGTGTGGATTCAACACACTATTAGAAAGTATCACATAACCATATAAATTAATCTCGTCTTCCTTAACTCGATCCGTCTCGCCCATTGACGCGGATCTTCCAATTAACTTGTCGTAATTGTCAAATAATCAGACTTTAACGGTAATTATCAGTATTTTTCTGCAGTAAGATAAACTTAGGAGATCCGAATTTGGCTAAAAAAAGATCGCACTTCCAAATTCTAGCAAAAAAAAAAACAGAAAAAAAAGTAAGAAAGAAACAAGAAATATACGTCCAAAAACAAAAATTGAAACCAAGCTCGCCAAGAAGAAAAGGAGAGGACCTCTACACATGTGGCGAGGTACAAGGGAACAAGCATATCTATCGAAAGGTTCTAGACTCTTCCGAGATAAAAGGACAGAAGCCGACGACACTGCCAATCCAACGATCCCGATCGAGCCGAACCTTCAGGAGCACGTAGAATTGGACGGTCTCCTCTCCATCGCCCCCTTCCCCAATATAAAACCTCATCAACAACTACCGTGCCCCTTCACGCTTATCCAAAGCCTCGGTAAACCCTAAGCGCGCTCCCTCTCCTTCCCTCCCCGTCTCCCTTCGCCGCCGGAGGTAAAGCCTGATCTCATCCTCTCGATCGCTCCCTTCTCGTATGCGCTGTGTTCCGCCATTTCTAGGATTCGAGGGGCTTGGAATTCTGCCTTTCTGCGATGGACGGAATGAAGCATTCCGTTGCGTTCTCGGGCATTTCGTTGCTCTTTTTGTGGTTGTTATTGGGTCCGCCCAACGTTAGCTTCTTCTGGTGTGATGTTGTGCTTGGACTCGCAGTTGAAGAGATTGGCCTCTCGTTAGCGCCCTCTTGATGGAATGGAGTAGATGAGACACTGACTAAAGGTGTCGTGAACACTTCGACTAGTAGCCGTCTTGAACTCCAGGGCATGCGATTTCTGTTGGCTTTGAGCCGCCCATATAGAGTGCATTCAGCACGAAGTCACTTTGCCCGTAGACTCTGGAATCATCTCTGCTCATGATTAGTTTTCGTCCATTGTCACACTCGAGTGTTTTAATTGTTTTCTTGTGCTTCTTGGGCTATTCGTTTTTGGCTTGCTTCGGCCGAGGTTAAACTTGGTGTCCTGTATTTTCAGTCTTGAGGAGTAAATGGCGTCAACTTTCGCGGCCATGTCTTCAGCTGGCACTTTGGCTGCTCCTGGCAATCGTGTGATGGATAAGAAACTAGCAACTTCACTGGACAAGTTGTCTTCTGTTTCTTCCATTTCTTCTTCCTCTTCATTTGGTAGAAGGCGGAGCGTCAGCCTAAGGAAATCACGGGAGCCCAAAATCTGTGCCATGGCAAAGGATTTGTACTTTAATAAGGATGGATCAACTATCAAAAAGTTGCAAGTGAGTCTTTGAGTATTTGTAAGTTTTCTGAATTGTGATAGGCTTGCTTCAGATATGTCAATCCTCTTGTTTGTCTTTCTTCTCAGACCGGAGTAAACAAGCTTGCAGATTTAGTTGGGGTTACTCTTGGTCCGAAGGGAAGAAATGTTGTCCTGGAGAGCAAGTATGGTTCCCCAAAAATTGTTAATGACGGTGTCACGGTGGCGAAAGAGGTATCTAAACTAATAAATTTTTTATGGGCCTAATTTGAAGTGATGTTATGTGAAAGGCTTTCACAAATATCTGGGTTATTGTTGATCTATCATAAGCATCTGAACTGGATCGCAACTAATTTTGTTAATGGTCTGCATGTTATCCTATCTGAATATATTTAAGCACTTTCATGTTGCAACACTGAAACTTCCTAACTTTTGGATTCTCTCCTCAGGTTGAGCTAGAGGATCCCGTTGAAAACATCGGTGCCAAACTAGTGAGGCAGGCAGCTGCAAAGACCAATGACTTGGCTGGTGATGGTACAACAACATCAGTTGTTCTTGCACAGGGTCTTATTGCTGAAGGTGTCAAGGTGGTTGCTGCAGGGGCAAACCCTGTCCTCATTACTCGTGGCATTGAGAAAACAACCAAGGCTCTTGTGGGTGAGTTGAAATCAATCTCAAAGGAGGTCGAGGATAGTGAATTGGCAGATGTTGCTGCCGTTAGTGCAGGAAACAACGATGAAGTTGGAAATATGATAGCTGAAGCATTGAGTAAAGTGGGTCGGAAGGGTGTTGTGACTCTTGAAGAGGGAAAAAGCGCTGATAACAGCCTTTACGTTGTTGAAGGAATGCAATTTGACCGCGGTTACATCTCGCCTTATTTTGTGACTGATAGCGAGAAAATGGCTGTTGAGTATGAGAATTGCAAGGTATGTTGCTTGGGTGTGAATCCTTGTTCTATTTCACCTTTCAGACAGTGGAATAACGAATGTTATTACCTCTGCTTTTCACTCAAATTGTTTATGTTTGTGCAGTTGCTTCTTGTTGATAAGAAGATAACAAATGCAAGGGATCTGATTAATGTCTTGGAAGATGCCATTAGAGGTGGTTACCCCATATTGATCGTTGCAGAAGACATTGAACAGGAAGCCTTGGCAACTCTTGTCGTGAACAAACTGAGAGGAGCTTTGAAGATTGCTGCCATTAAAGCTCCTGGATTTGGAGAGCGCAAAAGTCAATACCTTGATGACATTGCTATATTGACAGGAGGTATGCATCCTTCTTGGCCCTTATTCCGATATAGTTGGCCTTCTGTGTGGTGCATAGGAGCTGCTCTGCCAATTCTTTTCCTTTATTATGGCTGATGCGCTTGGACATACCTGCAGGGACTGTCATTAGAGAGGAGGTGGGCCTTACCCTGGATAAAGCTGACAAGGAGGTGCTAGGGCATGCTTCAAAGGTGGTGCTTACAAAGGACACAAGTACAATTGTTGGTGATGGAAGCACCCAGGAAGCAGTGACTAAAAGGGTCGCTCAGATTAGGAATCTTATTGAGGTCTCTCTCTCTCTCTCTCTCTCTCTGTGTCTGTTTGGGGCATACACATACAGTCACATACACGCTAAGGCAGGCAGGCACTGATGCATACATGCATCTTACTTTTTGTAGGCTGCGGAGCAAGAGTATGAGAAAGAAAAGCTCAATGAAAGGATTGCAAAACTCTCTGGTGGTGTTGCTGTCATACAGGTAAACATTAGTTTACTTTAGCATTCAGCTTTACACGTGGTCTTTTACTCTGCGTAATGATTTGGTGTCGACTTTTGAAGGTCGGAGCACAAACCGAGACAGAGCTAAAAGAAAAGAAATTGAGAGTTGAAGATGCTCTCAATGCTACTAAGGTAATTTGCATTTTCTGCAGAAGTTCTCTCATGAAATTTATGTTACTAGCCAAGTCAACTTGTATGTTACGGGTTATCAATGGACTTAAAAAAAAAATGCTGACTTCACCGCGTCTGGTTATCAGGCTGCTGTTGAGGAGGGAATTGTTGTTGGTGGTGGCTGCACTTTGCTGAGACTTGCATCAAAGGTTGATGCCATCAAGGACACGCTTGACAATGATGAAGAAAAGGTAAACTTTTAGGTTCACAACTGGAGTGAGTAGTAATGACTAAAGTCTCTACGTGGTCCATATGCAGTTTCTGTTCCTGGGAGGAAAAAGATGGAAGCCATCTAGGGCCAGTTTGGTTTCTGAAAAGTTTTCAAATTTTCCGTTTTCATTTCCTTTTCCTAATGAAAACTTTCTCGATAATGCCTTTGGCACAGAGTACAAAACAAAATATAAACTTAAAGCCCCCAGCCTCCTCTGAGTATGTTTGCTGCCTAGTCATCTTGTAGATAAGCTCACAGCAGTATAGGTTTTGATCCAAATTATCTTTATTGATCATAGGTTGGGGCAGACATTGTTAAGCGAGCTTTGAGTTACCCTCTGAAGTTGATCGCCAAAAACGCAGGTGTTAATGGAAGTGTGGTGAGTGAGAAGGTAAGTTCTGCTGTTGGTTCATAGATACAATTGTTTAGCCTCATTTTTGGTTGATTTTGATGACTCATTTTTAATCTTACCCCAGATTCTCTCGAGTGACAATCCTAAGTACGGATATAATGCTGCAACCGGCAAATATGAAGATTTAATGGCTGCTGGAATCATTGATCCCACTAAGGTGAGCTCTAGTGTTCAGTGTCATTTGGATTTTTTTGGTTGAACATTTGGATTGAAAAGGTGGGAATAATGAGCTGCTGTCAGGATGTCCTTTTTTCATCGGTGCTACTTCCCTGATTATTCCCTCTTTTGAGGTAAAGTGGCAGCTGGTCATTAATCTGGTAGTGTGCCTAAAGCTAGTTCCGAAATGAACTTTTAGCTATGAGAATAGGTTGTGCATGTTTGTAATTTTGCAATAACCAATGTAATATGTGTAGCTTTGAAGCCAGTGATATCGAAACTTTGAATTTGTGAGGTATGACTTTTCGAAGAACGTGAAACCTGATATGATCTGCTTTTCGATGGCTGCATAGGAGAACTAATAAGCCTTTGTATATGTCTTCTCGTCTTTCAACGTGCTTATTCTACTACTGGAAGAGAATCTAGTTCTCTCTGCTCGAATAAGGTTGGCTTAGCCTGAAAAAGTTTTTTTTCCTCTGATCAGGTGGTTCGGTGTTGCTTGGAGCATGCAGCTTCTGTGGCAAAAACGTTCTTGATGTCAGATTGCGTAGTCGTAGAGATCAAGGAGGCTGAACCAATTCCGGCAGGCAATCCCATGGACAACTCAGGTAAATTTCCCTTCTGAACCTTCAAATGAGATGGTAGTTCATGCTTTCGTTACTTGATATGCATGCTAAGCTGACGATTGTTTTTTCTTTCACCGCTGTCCCAGGCTATGGATATTGAGGGATTTGAGGATAGAGAGAGCAAATAAATCTTCAACCTTCTCTCGGAAGAAGTACATTAGATGGCAATGGCATCTCGGCTGTCTCTTCTTCGCCTTATTTTTGTAAATTAAGTCGATTGATGATGTGACTAGGCTAAAGCTAGTGTTGCGGGTAGTGCGCAATTTTGTAATATAAATGTATGCTTGCAACAATTTTTGGACTAGGGAAATCTTCTTTTCTTGAGTTACTCTCTCGTTCAACGACAATCTCATCGCGTGTAATGGATTGATTCCTCGTCCCCGTCGCATGCATGAGTTACATGCGTTCCTTGTGTTCTGTACCGTGTTCATCTGTTTCCCTTGCGCGGACGAACGGTGTATATACTAACTGTAGGCGCGCACTGTAGGATTTTTAAATCGTTGGCAAGATCGGGGCGGTGTCCTGCAATGTCAGGAGGCGAAAAAATAGAAAGAGAAAGGGACACCCCGAAGAACCAAAAATCAGAACGTCACTGTCTTGCGGTAAATGGTTCACCAAATGGACACAACTTCTGAGTAATTTTCAGAATGAAAATGACACGAAACAGAAATCTCTCCGAAACCCTCCGAGGGAGGTTGCCGAAAGGAAAAGGGTCAAATTCGATTGGTCCACGGAAAGAAAGAGACGAAGTGGGGTTTATTTTTAGTCGTTGCGCGACTTGGGCCTTGACTCGGGGCATCGGAACTTTAGGGCGCGCATGAAATCCATTCTGGAGCAAAATTTCTACTCCAGAATGCATTCCGGAACAGAAATGCGTTTGTTAAAAAATTTCCGGAATGCATTCTGGAGTAATTTTTGCATTTTGGAAAAAAAATGTGTTTGGTAAAAACACATTCTTTTTTTGCTTCCAGAATCAAATTTTGATTCCAGAATGACTTTTCCACCAAAAAAGAGAAGCTACAAAGGGTGCGAATGATAACCATTATGCTCCAGAAATCAAATTCTTGCCAGAAATTGATTTCTGGAGGAGAAATCTGTTTGGTAAAACATGACTAATTCTGCTCCAGAAATTGATTTCTGGAAGAGAAATCTGTTTGATAAAATAAGAGGAAATTTCTACTTCTGGATGAGAAATATATTTGATAACGGCGCGTCAGTTCTATTTCCGCAACAAATATAGTTCGAACTCAATTGCAAAATATTATTTATCTTAACCTACAATGCATGATATTCAAAGTAAAATCTAGTACATTTTTTTAAATCCTCAAATAAAAAGAACGGAAATTCCAAAATAACATGTCATTACAAGAAGACCTGGTACCAAATCCTCAATTACACATAATACAAATCCTACAATACAACATTATATTACAAAAGACAAAAAAAGCAAATAATCCTTGAATAATAATAATGGAAGTACAGTACAATACAATAGTGGAAAACCGAACTTCATGGAATCTCCGGCATATGATTATCCCTAGCCATTTTATTGGCAATACGTTTCCTAATAATGTTCGTCTCGGTTCCCTCTTCGATCGTTGCTACATCGTCTGTACCCTGTTCAGTAGGTTCACACACATAATCCGGATCTCCATATATGGACAAACACTTATCCATCCTATCTTGCTCAATGATGTAGTTATGGATCGCACAGCATGCAATTACAATCTGTATTTGTTTTTCAAATTTAAATGGAGGCATCTGTCTCAAAACAAAAAAACGATTCTTTAAAGCCGCAAAGGATCTCTCAATGATATTCCTTAATGAAGAATGCCTGTGGTTGAACAATTCCTTTGCTGTTGTTGGTCCCCCACTTCGTCGAAATTCTGGTATATGATACCGTTCGCCTTTAAATTGTGTTAAAAATCCTGGACTTGAAGCATAACCAGAATCGACGACGTAGTACTTGCCTACAACAAAGTATTCATGGATTGATCATGTAATGCAATCCTAGCAAAATCATAAACACAAAATACTCATTATATATCAAAATAGCACCTGCGGGGCGGTCGAGGAAATTGTAGGTGAGGTGTGCCAAGTGCAGCCGACAACACCCGACAATCGTTGGCTGATCCTTCCCAACTAGCATACACAAAAGTAAATCGCATATCAAAGGAACACACACACAACACGTTCTGAGTAGTTCTGCCTTTTCTACCTCTAAATCGTGATTGCATATGTTCAGGTACGGTAGCATGAATATGGGTGCCATCAATAGCACCTACGCACCCCTGTCATTTAATTAAATACATATATTAGCTGGACACGACAAGGAGCTGGGACTTCATGGGCCTTCCATTACAGGAGACACCTGATAATGACGAAGCCCCTCATGGTGCAGTTTCATCAACCTTTGGCGATGACGTCATCGTGGGGGTCATTGACTCAGGTCTCTCTCTCTCTCTCTCTCTCTCTCTCTCTCTCTCTCTCTCTCTCTCTCTCTCTCTCTCTCTCTCTCTCTCTCTCTCTCTCTCTCTCTCTCGTAAAATTTCATACCAGCTCTAGCATGGTGTTGCGCGAGCAAGATGATCTGTTTTCCTTTGAAAAAGATAACCAACTGTGAAGTGGCTGACCAACTTTTGAAAGCAAAAGTTAGGGTTAAAAAACTAAATGTCTTTCGTGTTCGGCTGGTTGTACTAAATTTTATTTGACTTATGATAGCTCGGATGCTTTTAGCAGAATTGATTCGTTAAACTGTTAGAAGCATCATTTAAACAGATTGACCATATTTTATATTCAATATGAGTTCGGGCGTCATTTAATAAATCAACCTGGTATGAACTTACTTGTCTTTAGTGTACGATAGCCACAGAATCCTTTTTGCCGGCGAAGAGTTTTCCTTGATCGTCATTTAATAAGCCAACCTGGTATGAATTCGTCTTTAATGTAGTCCTCGAACCATACGATAAAATGTTCAATGTAGTCTTTGAACTTGAATTAATGAAGCGATTATATTGAACATTTTCATATAGTTCATGGGCTAAATTGAACATGTATCAAGAGTTCAGGGACAACATTGAACAAATTAAAAATTTATGGACCGCATTGCATATTGAATTAAATTTCATGGACCACGTTCAACAAATTAAAAATTCAAAAATCACATTATACATTGAGTTAAAATTCAGAAATTATTCGTGCCATTTTCCATAAAAGTTTGACTACAAAAACATATATAAAAGAACTCACTTATTTTTCCATTTAAGAAAAAAGATAAGATTACTTTAAAATCTTAAAGAACATTTCGCTGAGGAAGTTTGAACCCGAATTGACCCTCTTTAGTCATACTAAAACATAATGAGCGCAGCCATATAAAGCACCAAAACTACGATATGGATTGTTGCAGCAATGCCATCTTTGGGCTAACGTTGGTTAATAACTCATGGATGATGTGATTCACACGAAGGGATATGGCCTGAATCCGCGAGCTTCCGGGAAGAGCCCTGGATGGGCCCGATCCCGCGGTCCTGGAAGGGAGAGTGCATGTCGGGCCAGGACTTCCCGTCGACCACGTGCAACCGCAAGCTCATCGGAGCCCGGTACTACGTAGCCGGTCTGGAGCAGGAGCTCGACCCTCTCGACACCTCCTCTGGCACTGAGTACCGCTCGCCCCGGGACCGGCTTGGCCACGGCACTCACACAGCCTCCACTGCTGTCGGCTCGATAGTCCACAACGTCAACTTCTTCGGGCTTGGTTTGGGCACGGCCCGGGGCGGGGCCCTGAGGGCCCGGCTTGCGGTGTACAAGGTCTGCTGGAACAAGACCGGGGACGGCGCCGGCGAGTGCAGCAAGGCCAACATTTTGGCGGCCTTCGAGGGCGCCCTGAGGGACGGCGTCCACATAATATCCGCGTCGATTTCCACGACGATCGGACAGCTGCTCCCGTTCTTCAACTGGAGCGCGGACATCGGGAGCTTCCACGCCATGCAGAAGGGCGTGACGGTGGTGTTCTCGGCAGGGAACTACGAGTACTCGCCGGACCCATCAAGGGTCAAGAACGTGGCCCCATGGTCGATCTCTGTCGCGGCTTCGACGATCGACCGCTCGTTCCCGACGCAGATGGTCTTCGACAACAACTTGACTGTCATGGTAGTATGATATTTACCAATCTATATATTAAGCACCTCTATCGAAATAATTACATGAAATCTTGTTTATTACAGGGACAAAGCATGATCACCACATCCGGTTACAAATTTTCCTGGCGTTGCAAGATCACCAGACTCAGCCATCTCTTCTTTGCTGATGATGTGCTCCTTTTTTCTGAGGCAAACTCGGAGTCTATTACTCTTATGCATGAAGGAATTAGGCTGTTCTCTAGTTGGTCTGGCCTCAAGCCAAATGCTAATAAGAGCGAGACTTTCATGTCAGGTGGTTCAACGGCTTTACGAACTCAGATTTTACAACTTCTTGGCTTTAATGAAGGAACTCTTCCTTTTAAATATCTCGGGGTTCCTGTAATAGCCTCTAGACTGTCCAAAGCAGACTGCTGCCATCTGATCAACAAAATCACGGCCAAAGTTCGATCCTGGTCCCAACGTTTTCTCTCGTTTGCCGGAAGATTACAACTCATCACTTCAGTGCTCCACGCAACTCAGGTATACTGGGCAAGTGTCTTCACTCTCCCTAAATCAGTACTTTTGAGTATTGAAAAAATACTGAGGCAATTCCTATGGAAAGGACCCGACTTGGGAGCGGGAGGTGCAAAAGTCCCCTGGAATGAAGTCTATTTACCAAAAAGGGAAGGAGGACTCGGTATCCGGAGGCTTGTGGACTACAACAGAGCTACAATGCTCAAGCACATATGGCTCCTATTCACCGATAAGGAGTCCATATGGTGCAAATGGATACACTCCAACTTTCTTCGGAAAAGAAATTTCTGGGTAGCAACCAAACCGACCTTCTGTTCTTGGAGCTGGAAAAAAATCCTTGAACTTCGATCGGATTTCCAGCTGAACTTTCTTTGGAAGATGGGTGATGGGACATCCATATCATTTTGGTTTGATAATTGGCATGCAAGGGGTCCTCTTTACGACCTTTTTTACGATAGAGACATATACAGATCTGGCATCCCGAGAAATGCATCGCTTCGGGATTTTTTCTCTTCAGTCTGGCAAAACTCAAACTTTTTGGACATTTTCAACTCTTGGACAGATAGCATCCCGGCTCTTGATGCGGTGAGGCCTGATCGCTTTACCTGGAAAGGACCCTCCTCTAGTCTGTTTTCCACTTCTTCGGCATGGGAAATAATTCGAATCAAAGGCACTTATGTTCCATGGAGCTCCTTCGTATGGGATCGAGCGATTGCGCCAAAGTACAGCTTCTTGCTTTGGCTCATTTCTTTGAACAGACTCCCTACGCAAGTCATTTTGCTAAGACACCACAGAATATCCGATGGTGTTTGCGCCTTCTGTAGAAGCAGACCCGACTCTATTGACCAATTTTTTTTGGTTGTAATGTTACTGGGTCCCTTGCCTTATTTTGGGCAAACAAATGTAATCTTATTTGGCGTAATAGATCATGGCAAGAAAACCTCCAGTGGGCTATCCAAACTATAGGGGCCCAGAATTTTCATCAGCAAATCGCTCGATTTGCACTTGGCGCAATGTGCCATATTATTTGGTTGGAGCGAAACAACATTCTATTCAGGAATCGACCTATTTTCATGCCAGCCATCCGCAATCATCTCATCAAGTTGGTAAGGGACAAAGCCTTATCCATGAAGCCAGTGCTTGATAATGACCGCAACAGAAGAATTCAGCAAAATTGGGGCTTATCCCCTTCCATTTTTGAGTAATCCTTTGATTACTTTGTTTGCAGTCTATGGGTCTCTTTTCCGGTTGGACTTCTTTGTGGCTTTGCTGTTGCTTGTAGCCTTTGCATGAGTCGTTACACCGTTGTACCTGTCGGGACACTTGTTGTGTCGCCTCAAGTGCGAGGTTTTTGTGTACGACTTTTTTCGCTGTAAGCCTTCATTGGAAAAGTATATAAATTTCTTACCTTACCCAAAAAAAAAAAAAAAAAAAAAAAGCATGACCACCACCGAAGTATATGCACTCTTGATAGATGCCGGCTTGTTTTTTTCCAACGGGTGAAGCATTACGTTCTTGTTTCATAATGGATTTTGTTCACCGAAAGCCTTCGAATCAAGCTTGCACAAATTCATAACCGATTTTATTCTTTTCTTCTTCTCTTTCTCTTTTTGAATTTCAGGGCTTGTTTACGGGAAGGATGGAACAAAAGACCGGCTGCCGGCAAAGTCATCCTGTGCTTTTCAACAATGGGATTTATAACGAGGGCCGAGGCAGCGGCTGCGGTCAAGAAGGCCGGTGGATCGGGGTTGATCTTCGTCGAGCCTCTAGGCAGGCAAGTCCCTTATGTCGTTGTGGTCCCGACGGTTTACATCGACATTTACCAAGGCACGAAGCTCCTGCACTACCTCGGTTCGTCCGAATGGTATGGTCGTGCACCTTATAGAACACCTCCTCTTCTATTCCATTAGTCATTACTGAGATTTAACTGACGAGCCCTTGAGTGACACTTCAAATTGTTAGGTATACGTGCATTGATTTTTTCCAACATTTTCAGAGGAAAAGCCAAGATGAACGATAATCTAATATTGCAGTATTGTTGGTCCGAGAGATTGGCCTGGAGTCTGCATTTGCTCAAGTTAAAGACTAATTCTAACGAATGCTTGTATCGTTGTTGTTAATTTGCTGAACATTGTGGACGTTCAAGGCTCCCAACGGTGAAAATAACGCCGACCAAATCACTAGTCGGGAAGGTGCCGGCACCAGAAGTGGCATACTTTTCCTGCAGAGGACCAAGCGCTCTATCGCCCGATATTCTCAAGGTATGTCGATTTGCGGGTCAAATCAATAAAGAGAGCTCTGTCGAGTATATGTTCTTGTAATATTAAGAGATTTATAGAGAAGGGAGAGAGAGTGGCGGTGCTTTCTTCATCAAGCTCGCGATTCCTATACCTAGGACAAAGATACATTGGAGTTGTGTTGATTATCTTATGTATGATATGACAAACAGCCAGATTTAAGCGCTCCAGGAGTCAACATTCTGGCGGCATGGCCTCCGAAAACGCCGCCGACTCTGTCTCCTTCGGACAAACGCTCGGTGAATTGGAATTTTCAGTCGGGGACGTCCATGTCGTGCCCTCACGTGACCGGCACAGCTGCACTTGTCAAATCGGCCCACCCGGATTGGTCTCCGGCA